AGAAGGGTCGATAAGATCTAGGGTTTGTAATCTTGAGATTGTGGTCCGTTGTTTGGCTGAGAGTTGAAGCCTATGATATCGGCAGTACAGAGTTTGACTACGGGTGTAAGGGCTTCTACAGGGCTACGTCAAGTTTGGCAATGGTCTATGGGCTCGAACGGACTTGAGGACACGTGGGGTTCAAGGCTGAGGGTTTAGGGCACAGTTTGTCATGGGGACTCTGGCGTGGGGATCACATCTTGGTTGTCTGAGCTATGAACAACCCTGAACCAACACAGCGAGTCGCGGAGCAAGGTGCCAGAAAGTGCTTTGGCTCAGATGTCCAGTTCTGAACTCTTCTTGAGAAGCAGATACAGCAACAATGGCAGCAACAGCAGCAACAACAACAGAAGCAGACACAACAAGCACGCAACAATATAGAGGAGAGGTGGTAGGCTGAACCGCAGTCGCAATCAACTACTACACTAGCGTTTCTACTTCTACTGCCGACGCGGTGAAAGTAAAGCAAGATTGCCACAACCCTAAAACTGACAGTCATTCTAGTGACTGGGACGGGCAGTCTCAGAGATCCGCTCAGCAGTGATACAGTGCACTACAACGCTTGAGACGGTTCTGACAATGATGATTATCCTGCACGTGTTCATAATTATCCGGTTCATGGTATGTTCATGGCTCTACTACACGCCATTCCCCGAATCTTATCGAGACAGCAAGCGGCTTCAAGTCTCAAGCAGCGAAAGGAAAACACGTGAAGTCTCGTCTCGCTGCTTCCCTCTTAAATTAACTTTGCAAGAAGACGCAGCCTGCAAACACTAACACGCCCAACAGATGGGAGGTCAAAACGGGGGTTTCAGATTCTTGGGGTAGGGATTCCTTAATATGAACCCCTTTTATGGGAACCCTAATCACTGCTAAACTCCCATCGGCTGAAACCCCTCTTGGCTTCCTATGACCAAAAGACTCTGTGAGAGCTTCCACGGTGGTCACTTCAGCCAGAACTGTGATGCCCATGCGCTGTGCATGCAGCGACAAAGCCTCAGGCTCAGTCACTGAAACGCCCAACAGTTCTACCGGCAGGCTGTAGGGTTTAGAATTTAGGTTTAGCGCGGTTTGCTGGAGGTATTGCCATGTAGAAGTCATGTACCCGAACATCAATGACGACTTTGGCTGCAAACACTGGACCTACACTTCACGAGAATGATCATGCAGATCCTCAGGGCCGTGCTCTAAAGTCCCGTGGCCATCGGCGTTGCCCGACTATTACGACTTTGTCGTCGCCTCCCCTTATCCTAAACCTTACCCAAAGGCCCCAAAGTAGTTCCTTTTAGGGATTACCTTATAGGATTCTATATATGAATCGCAAAAAGCAACTACTTTGGGGCTTTTGGGTAACTACATGTCATACGAAGCAGGGCTCTGCTCTCCGCGAGACGAGAGTACCGGGAGAACCCGCTGCCCGTTCATTACGGACTACCTTGAAGTATAGGTGGGCCCTTGAGGAGGAAGAGGGGGCTCTCTTGCATCTTTAAAAGGGTAATGGCAATAATCAAGATCTAGTATCCAACATTACTGCTATGATTTTAGGCATGCGCCTCAATTAAAGGGCATTGACCTGCCTGGATAGGATAGTAGGATGTAGAACCTTGGAGCTGCGGGCCAAACGTTGAGAGGGGCAATAGTGGGCGCCAGTTGTGTGGTTTAGGTTTTAGGGTTTAGGGCTGGAGGGTTCAGGGTTTTGGGGATTTAGGGTAATGGTAATGAGGCAACGGAATAGAGTAGAGCTGAGAGAGGCGAGAATACTCAAGGCCTTTGGATATATTTGCATGCTTGCACCCCTGGCTTGGCACATATTACATGCTGTCCACAGCTTCCCCCCAACAATCACCACTACATGTTTGATGAGTGGTCGAGAGAAAGCGCTTGCATTCGGCCCTACTACAAGCTCTTTCTCGCGAGCACTCTTCATATTATGGTGTAGCGGTTAAACAGGTTTGGGGTTCTGGCACATGGAACCGATCAGAAGAGTATACTTCTAGCATGCCGAGGAAGCGTAGGGGCGCAGAGAGACCATCCAGGACAAGAATACTTCAATTGCAGAACCGTATGTCAGCAGCACACACCTCATGTCAGTCGGCATGAAGCACCGTTACGTACGGGCATATCCAGTCATCCAAGCAGCCAGTGCATTCAGCTCCTCTCTCATTGCAATGATCACATGGGGCATTTCCGTCGCTTCCTTATGCTAGGGCCGAGTTGCTTGGCTGGGCGAGATGCAGATATGCCACATGATGGACGTACTGTCTAGATCTTATGTCGGCAGCTGCCAACCTTCACACTAGCACCAGTCCACTCGTTTTGGGTGGGTCAGCTGAGCTATTCTTGTGATACCTAGATTCGGAGTCAGGGAAATCTTTGCAGTTTAGTTCTGCAGAGATGCCTGTTTCGATGGCACAGTTGGCGGCCGATAAGAACAAGCACCACCACCACAATTGCGGCAGCTGCTGCTACTAAGACCAGAGCTAGCACCAGGACTGGCATTGATGCCAGTGGGGGTACCCGCACATGTACAACTGCTTTTACCAGCACGACTACGACGACGATGAGGAATACTACTATATACTACTGCTGCTGCTGCTGCTACTACTACTACTACTACTTCTAATACTACTGCTACTACTGCTACGTTGATTGGCTGTTTAGCATACTTGAAATAGCGTTGGTGAAGTTCAAGACAACATGACGAAAGGTCTCCTGCAGAGTTGTTGCAAGAGCTCCGGGATGGATGTATCCCACAGGTGGTTGACAGACCCTAAACCCTAAACCTTGTTAACGTGTCCTTGCCAGAAACGGAATGGCTCGCAAACTTCGAGGCCTATCAACCTGTTGACTATCCCTCAGGGTCCATGTACTCATATAGTATATACATTGGCCTCAATGTGGTGCCTGTATAGGTACTTTGGGGCCCATGTATCTCTATATGGGTACATGGACCCTTAGGGCAAACGCGGCAGCATGTGTTAACGTGTCCTTGCCAGAAACGAGATGGGTCGTAAACTTGGAGATCTATCAACTTACCTTTGGTTAGTAGGGAATGGAAGAATGGTAGTAATAGTAGTTATAATTGTACCCCATTCCTCCATTCCCTACTAACCAAAGGTAAGTCAACCTGTTGACAATATGTGGTAGTTCCTCCAAGCATCAGGATCGAAGTCATCCAAGTTCGACACGTCCGGCGTGGACCTCAGAGGATACGAATATGCAGCATCGTGCATACAAGGCAGAAAAGCACATGCATATACATTTGTTTAAGGAGGGACTGAGACAAGGAGCCTGCAGCTACAGCCCCCAAAGTTAGAAGACGCAATCCAGACCGAGATTAAAAAACGACGTATGAGCATGTGGCTTGAAGGTTCCATGTTGGGCAGGTTCGTTGTCAAGTCTGGTTTGGGTTTGGGCCACGTTGGCCTCTTGTTGGACAGCTTGAGGATACTTGAGGTTTTATGACGTGCACATGAACTTCAAACTTCAATCTCTGAGCGCAGGTGAGTGCATCCAGCAACCCTGCGAGACTCCGACACAAGGAAAGGACGTGATTGTCGGAAAATGTGCTGAGAACTTCGATGCTGTGTATGAAACAACTGTTGCGTTCAACCGAAACGGCTGAATCACTGTATTGACTTGACTTACAATCATGGTGGGGTCATACTATCATTATAATAAGGGCCCTAAACCCTCTAAGGAACAGCAACTAAACCCTAAACCTCTAAACATTCAAAACCCCAAATCTTTAGACCCTGAAAACCAACAACACCGAAACAACACCTAAAAACCCTAATTCGGATGGTCGGGATAGTGGCAACATCGCGAAGTCGGAAAGCGGCAGGCCGTAGCCCGGCTGTGTTTGAGCCCGAGGCCGCTAGTGGATCTGGATCACCGAATGTCTATAATGTACTTAGAAGATCATGGGACTTAGTAACTAGCGTTATAATTAAGGTAGCTATACTTAAAATTACTTATAACCCCAATAAAGGTACTTACTACCATACTTACTAAGTCCCATGATCCTCCAAGTAGGGGCATCAATAATTAGAGTAGGGTTTGGGGGTTGCTTATAATACTACAGAACTATACTATATACTGACGGTTAAGGGTTTATAGGTTTTGTCGAATTGCTTTATGGGTAGTTCTCTAAATTAGGGTCCCTTCTTAGGTCCCAACATAGTACGGCAACTTTATTACAAGGACCCAAACGCGAACACACGGCACTTGTTAGAGCGGAGCTGCGTACAGAGGAGTGGGAGCCTGAATTTTGCAGCTCCGTTCTGCAACTATGTGGACCACAGTGGAATCAACATTCATGACCACAGTATTCTTGCAGCTAATTGCCTTGACCGCCTTCCATCCAGGGATTAGGGTTTGTAGGGATGGGGCGTAGGATTTAGGGCTCTTGCGCCCTTGCATCAGGCACTCGGCGAGACTGCGTTTGAATGTTCCCTCCTGCCTCCTTAGAACAAAAACCTCGAATCCAAAACTACCCATTATGTTCTCAGAACACTTACAACAGCACTGAGAACCACTCCGACAAGCCACAAGCAAAAGACGAGAAACCCTAATACCTTCAGTTCCTGAGCCCCAAGCGCCAATAGATCTCAGAACCCAAAACGATGCCAACCCCTAAAGATTAAGCCATGCCTCGAAGCTGCCCCTAAAACCCTAAACCCCTAACTAACCCTACACCCCCTAAAACCCTCAAACCCTGAAACCCAAAGCCCTAAACCCAAAGCCCCCAACACCCTGAACCCTAAACCCCTAAAGCCCCAAACCCTAAAACCCCAAAGCCCTAAACCCAAAGCCCCCTAAACCCTAAACTAGTTCATGGTTGGGATAGGATTAAAATGTACATTTTTATTCCTTATTGCTTTCAGGTGCCCATAAACATGTGAAATGTTACCCAACTATGACAAAGAAAACCCCCTAAAACCATTAATCCTGGGTCCGGCCTGCTGCTTGAGCTCTGCCCTGTGGCTCGCCAAGACGCGTGTTACGCGAAAGACCCGCCTGCGATGCCAGGGTCGTTTCGGGGTTTAGGGTGTAGGGTTTAGGGGTTTAGGGGTTTAGGGTTTAGGGTTTAGGGGTTTAGGGGTTTAGGGTTTAGGGGTTTAGGGGTTTAGGGTTTATATAGGGGTTTCGGGGTTTAGGGTTTTAGGTTTTAGGGTTTAGGGGCGGGTTTTTAAATGTTGAACTCCACTCCCGTGGTGTCGGTTCAGAGTTTGGGGCGTCGGACTTGGGAATTCGAAATCGGGCTTGGGACGAAGGGTTTGGGGTTCAGAGTTTATATAGGGATTGGGCTTTACGGGTTTGGGGCACTGCCATACGTGGATACCTACAACGATACGACATACACATCAACACAAACATAATGTTGACCTAGGATTAATAATCCCCCTACGATTAAAGGCGGGCTGCGGGCGGCTCCGGCCCAAATCTGTACTACTTTAAAGGCAGCACCCAAATAAGGATCGTTTTTTGCAGAAAACCCCCACGATTAAAGGCAACACCGTCTGGGGATCTAAAATTTCAAAAAGTGCTTCGAAGACTACTTTTAAAGGGGGCAAGACTACATTTAAAGGGCGTCTTGTCCTCTTTCAAGCGGTTCTTTCAAGGGCTACTGCTACTGCTACTGCTACACTGCTACTACTGCTGCTACTACGACTACTACTACTAGCACCACTGTTTACTGCAATTTGGCTTCACGGGATTATTTGGGGGTCTGTGATCCTGTGGGGGGCCTGCGACCTTGACAACCTTGAGGGGGGGGGGGGGGGGGGGGGGGGGGGGGGGGTTTATTATTCAGGGGTCAACATTACATAGGTCCAGCCGTCCATCCATCCATCCATCCATCCATCCATCCATGAGTCCATCCATGCACTTGATATATATATATATATATATATATATATATATATATTTGTACATGTACATACAGTTATATACGCGCGAAGGTTACGGCTTGCAGAACACACGTCTTACTCTATCGCTGTTGCAACTGTGTGTACGATGATGCAATTGTTATTTTGCTGTGAGTCATGATGGCGCTCCTGGCACACGTTGATGAACACGGTAAGTTCTGAGACAGGATTGTGCTGAAAGAGTGATGATGGTGCTGAGGGAGAGCACCCATGGACACTCTTATGACGAGCCCTGCCTATAAAGTACTGCAAGACAGAAAAATACCCTACAACGCGGCCTACAAAATACCGTATGAAATGCTATTCGCTACCAGGCCTTTTGAAGGTCTTCTCCATTTTCCACGCGGCCTGGGCAAAATCTCAGACCACAAGTAAAACCTGCAAGCATCTGCAAGCCCTACCCCAAGACTGGCAAGGTTACGGTTTATGGTTCAGGGCTTAGAAGGCAGGAAAATCACAAGTCATAGTAGCTAAACAGAAGCAGCGTTGCAACGACGTATGTACCGAGACAGCTTAAGGAATTTAGGTGCATGTAAAGGACCTGAGTTCATGATCCTGCAGACCAGCAGCTAATTAAGTCTGAAGGACCGAAGCTCCAATAGCTATCGAGGCAGAACGTTAACGCAGACGTACGCATGTTCACAGCTGTATAATCATGCAAGCTCAACGACGACCTGTCCGTAGTGTCAAAACCTGAGACATGGACAAAGGCCGCGGAGTCCAGGCTTTCCAGCTGGTCTTTGGCAGCAGCCAGCTCCTTTCAACAGATGTTAACACGTGAAGTTTGTTCATGGCGCAGATTTGCTGGCTCTTTTTGAGGCAGTCTAAATACAAAGAAGAAAAAGGCAGATGTTGCTATAGTGAGACGCCGGCTACCCTTTTCCAGATGCTCTCTCTGAATGCCCGAACTTCCTGCTGCAGTGCCGCGACCACCACAACAAGATGTCAAGGTGCCGCCGCAAGTGCGGTGCCCTCCAACCAAACCGTAAGCAGCACAACAAAAACCGTAAACCTGCGCGACACCCTCAGCTCTTGACAAGTCCAGGGCATGAGGTGTTTCGGACAAAAATGGGCTTACTCGGCGATGCAGACAGAAGCCACCGTACGTTTTCAAGTCGAACGGAATGTGTTTAACTGTGCGGACACAGCCAGAACGTGTAATGCCGATTGAAAATGCGACCTGAAAACGACATGTGTGGCCGAGCTGTGCAACATACAAAAATAATGTTGGCATGTGTGGCATAGTCCCATGCATTCGAACAAGCAACAACGAGAGGAAGTGCCGCTTTTGGTCTGCATCGAAGCTTTTTCTTTCTGGGCATGTACTCGTAATGTGTGACGGGGGACTTTGGCATATTTTGCATTATAACTTGGCCGCATTTGCCCAGATTCGCTTCGACGCGGCTGATTTCGGCTTGACTTTGCGAGTAGTAGTAGCAGTAGTAGCAGTAGTAGTAGCAGCGGTAGTCATAGTTGTGGAAGTAGTAACTAGTGGTAGAAGTCTGCAGCAAATGAAACACTAATATAAGCTTGGATCGTAGTCTCACCGAGCTTAACCCGGTCAACTTCTTGACAGTATCTGGGATTCTGACCGTCCGTCGCGCCATGCAATCCAACAGCTTGGACCTGCTGCACATTCGCCGTATATAAGGAGCGGAAAATTCAGCCCGGTATGCGAGTTTCGGAGTTTATGCATGGTGAAGGTTGTAGACACCACGATTCTACCAGTGAGTTCCATGTCAATGTGCAGTAATGCCCAGGCTCTGAGGGCTGTACATTAGGAGCACTCTCACAACATACTGCAAAGCACCTTCAAGCACCTGCACGGAATTGTGGTCTCGGAGACTTCCGCAGAAACCAGCGACACCTTCTGCAACAGAACAGAAACACCTGATCAACAGCTAGAGGTGTAGCATGTTCATTTTCTGTAGTCCAGGGGTCTGTTTCGCCAAAGCTGAACACCACCATATGCCCTAAACGGCTCTAAACCCTAAACAAGCCATATGGGAGATTCCGAGAATAGGGGACCCCAATATAGTACCCTGAATAATAGGATTGTTATTATACGGACCCCAAAATAAGGTACCATAAGTTTCGGAAACTCCCATATCTGTAGACATTCTGGGGCATCGACGCCTCAACCAAGGCGCCTCTTGCTTACCGTCTCAACCCTACATACCGCCCTTAAGCCCGATAACCCTATTTTTCGGAAACTCTAAACCCTAAACCCTAAACCCTAAACCGTACTTAGGCAAAAGGACCGATCATGAACGACCCCGAGCCGAGCTCCCGGCTGCTTGGCAGACAGCGCCAGCCAAGTACGCTCTCGCTTCATACCTTGTATAGATACATATTCTATTTACATATACATCTATATATATATATAATATATATATATATATATATATATATATATAATATTCTTATATACATATGCACATACAGTTTTATTAGTAGAACTTAGGTCAATAAATATATACATATATACTACATCTACCGAACAATCAAGGGCTCTTCGAGATGCCGAACACGCGCTGCTGCGTGTCTGCACCCTGGGAATGCCTCATGTTCCCCCACTGAGCATGTCTGGTCATATGGTGATGTTGATGGTGACGCAGATGCTCGCAAGAGCTGTCGCAGTCTTTGTCGTCGTCGCATATGTCAGGAACAGCCATCATGCTCGCAAATTTGCGGTTCAGGTTCCCGAAATCCTAAACCCCCAAAGCCGAACCCGCAAACCTTAAGCTCTGAACCTGGCTGAGCCCGGGACGCGCAGACTCGAGGTTGACTTCACCTCAGGAGGAGCAAGCCTGATTCGAAATAGTCATCATAAGCAAAGTAGTAGTAACAATGATAGGTATAGTGATGCTAACATTAATAGTAGTACTAACAGTAATCGGAATTTAACAACACTCATAACTATGAGATGAAGAATAGGAATAGGAATTGTAAGAGTTCAAGTCCCGGCTGAGGCCGCATCGGGTGAGCCCTGGCAGAGAAATCCGATGCACCGCCATCTCGAGTTGTGTGCAAAGCCTGGGAAAAGGCCAGATCTAGACATATGTGTATATATATATATATGTATATAGATATAATATAATATAAGTATAAATATATACATATATATATATATACATACGCACATGTATATACACACATGACATTGAAACTAAAACAAAGGATATCACAGAATGTGTCGGACCGCGGTGGTGACGAAAACATGGTGGTGATCAGAACATGTTGTCACGAATACAGTGGAACACGGGAATGACTAATATAGGGGCCTAAATAATTACTAACAATTTTTTGGGGGGTCCTTAGTATGAATATAGTGTAATGAGCCCTCAAACCCTATTCCAATTAGTAAGGCCCCTATTGTAGCAGAAGTGTCTTCCCCGTCTCCCAGTCTCTGCTCCACCCCACACCAACCCTGAAAGTGTCTTTGCTTGACTGTTGAGGCGCCAGATTCTGCAGACCCTCGACGGTTGATGATATAAATCCTGCATTAACTTAATTCAAGACTCTAAGCTATGGGATTAATGGCCTCTTCCTTTATATGGCTATTGCAGGATGTATACCATCAACAGCAGCACGAGGACCAGACTCATCACAGTCGCTTGTATCATCACGGAGTGTACCTGGGCCGCTTCAGTACTGATGGAGATATCGTCCCGCGTGTTTCATGCGCAGCAGCTCGAGCTCTGGACTGTTCAGCAGCTGAAGGCAAGTCCTCAGGACCGACCCAGGTGCGATGACAGCCTCCGGCACGAATTGCACATCGTGCTTCTCAACACATCTCTTGCTTCTTGTTTTGAGACCCCACCGAACTGCAAGACAACAGCAACCATTTCCAGACGAACAGCAAGGATTGGTGTTGCTGTGGCTACTGCGGCACGGAATGTTCTTGTCGTGGTCGTGCTTCTGGGCTGCGGCGACTTTTGGAACGTGGTAAGAGAAGAGACAGGTGGGTGGCAAATTCGCCCTGCGGTCCAAACCCTCAATCCCCAAATCCCTAAACGTAGTGGTTCCAGGGCGCGCCGCGCCTCTGCATGGAATCCCCACACTTCTGACATGCCGGATCAGTGTATCGCGGTACGGCGGTTGTAGTTCGAGGAGCCCATGCGCTTGCAATCGTGTCGGGCTGTTGCGTTGCGCTTGTTGCCTGCTGACGACCCCTCGACCAGTGAGTGCTTGGTCGTAGAGAGCAAGCTACTGGTTATGATGCCAAGAAGCAAACTGATAGTTCTTCCTCTTGCCAGAAAAGATAGGCATAAATACAGGCACATTTGCAGAACTTTTCTGAAAAACGAGACAAGTATGCTTCAAACGGGCCTCTGCTTGAGAGTACTCGGCCACACGGGTCTGGAAACGATCCACTGCCTCACGGCTCGTAGATGTTCGAAGTTCTCGAGCATGGCAGCGATAGTACGAGCATATCAGCCACAGCAGGACTAGCAGTAGCAGTTGCACAGACAGTCCGAGGCCGTACATATAGTAATGATCATGGAAGCCATGTGGCTCTGAAACAATAGAAGCCCCTTACAGGTAGGTAGTTCTTCTTCCATAGTACTCCCATAAGAGGGTTTTTAACTTATAGGAGTGGTATAGGAGGCTTATGGGAAACTACCCACCTAACGACTACCCACCTGTAAATGGCTTAGACTTAGAAACAACAGCCTTAAGCGATCTTAGGACTGAAGTTGTTTCTACTGAGAACTAGTAGAGGAACCTCGAGACTCGAAACCCTAGATGAAGCGGTCAACGCATGCATCACCGCCATAGAGTCTCAAAGACTTTCGACGGTCGTCTCAGACCGCTTCTAAGGTGTCTTCCGCTGCCTTCCTGCACCCTCGAACCTTAGACCCTAAACCCTAAACCGTAACCCATGCCAGCGTCGCCACATCAAAGTAGTCAAGAAAGAGGTCGTCATCGCGCCGGAACTCATCACCTTGGTAGTCTAGGGGCATTAGAAGAGAGCCTCGGGCTTGCAATATTCAGACTGTATGGGATACCTCAGAAACAGCAGTGGCAATTATTCCGGCGTCCATATCAGTGAAGGGGCATGGCGGCTGGTGAATTCTTTTAGCTTGTGGTGTAAGGTACATGAGCTCAAGGATTACCAAACTTAGGTGAATACCTTGAACGCGGAAGTTCGAGACGGCCCTACTTGGAGGTTCATGGGTAGTTATGCGTAGGGTTTATAGGTAGGATAACTATAGTTGCGGCCCATATTGGACGATTATAGAGCCCACTTATATAACTACCCATGAACCTCCAAGTAGATCACATGACCTTTTTGACGTGTCTGCGAGAAGCTGTTTTGCCTGAGCTGAACATTCTCGTGCGAGCCGGGTCCTCCACGGTATACAATGACTGACATACGATGGCTTTGCAGACCCAAACAAGGTGGGTGGCTGTTTTGATGCTCATAGCCCAAAAAAATTTCTTATTTCGACACCTAAGAGCAATCCTGTGACATGCCTTCCTGCGCTGTTTGATTCATCACCATTGCATTCTGGATTTGCTTGGTGATGCTGATGCTTGCCTGCAAGATGTTGCTGATCGGCGTGGGGGTTACGGTAATGACTGTAGTATGGTTTACAATTCAAAAGCACGCTAGTGGCTACTGCCTATCTTATGCTACTTGATCATTGAATATTGATCTTTATTGTTTGCATTTTACTCTGCACTGCGCCCACACCCTTATGGGCGAGTTGTACGCCGATGGTGTTCAAGGCTCAGTTACCATATACAGAATCATAGTACACGGGTCTACGGGCCCCTACTTGTCGGGGTCTGTCCAGTCTCCAGCCGGGATGCTGAGATGATGGAACTCAACCAGTTTCTGCAAGTCGGCACCGCACCTGAGTTCTGCTTCTGTCCGTCTGTGTGATAGCGGTTGACGGTTGAGGGTTGTGGAGAACACAACACGAAGAAAGTGTGTCATGATTCTCTTCCCAGGAACAAGCCTCACACCGCGAACTCTTGTATGGTAGATGGTTGCATACTGTAGATAATGGATATTGCAGTAGATTATATATGTAGACCAAGTTCTGTTAAGGTATATTATGGTATCTGACAGTGGCATATGGTCGATTACTATGAAGGTATATTATGGTACCTTATTAAAGTAGCTTCGAATCGATTATAGTAGGTCATGGCAGACTATAGACTCACTGGCCCAACACCCAAAGAAATAAAAGTTGAAACTTTCAGAATCGACAACCTTATAAGAACCCCAAAAGTTGAAAAGTTGAGTTTACAGCCAAAAAGGACTATACCCTAAACCCTTAAATCCCTAAACCCTGCAGCCTCTAAACCCTAAACCCTAAAGACCAGCACAAAGGCAGGGACTTTACGTCCATGGCCGCCTCCACGGACCCGAAGCTTTTCGCCGCACCTCCGAGCACTCGCCGTAGCTGCGACATGTCAGTAGCTTAGGGGGTTACGATAAGGGATCTATATGGGTATAAGGGTACCCTAAACCCTAAACCCTAAACCCTAAACCCTAAGGGGCCTTAATAAATACCTATACTATTCAGGGGCCGTAGGGCTTTAGGGGTTTAGGGGCCTTAGGGTTTCAGGGGTTTAGGGAGGTTAAGGGGTTTAGGGGCCGGGCCTTAGGGTTTTAGGGTTTGTTGGTTGGTGGTTGGGGCTGAGTACCCTAGCCCAAAAAAAGCCAGAAAAGGTTAACCTGTTCAGTTATGGTAAACCTGCAAGGGTCACAGGTTACTTCCTCAGAAACTACTGTTGATGATATAAATCCTGCATTGTCCATAATAAGGAATATATCCCATAGTTTAAATTCTTTACGGTAAGGCAGGATTTACATCATAAACCGTAGGGGCCTTAGTTTCTTGTTGAGGCTTTTTTCCCGTGCATTAAAAAGGCTTAGGACCTCGGGCTTTTAGGGATCAGGGTGTTTGCTCAAGAGCTTCTGGGGTTTAGGAGAGGGATTAGGGTTTAGGGATTAGGATTTTGGGGCTTTGGGAGAGGGGTTAGGATTTTGGGGCTTTGGGAGAGGGATTAGGATTTTGGGGCTTTGGGAAAGGGATTAGGATTTTGGGGCTTTGGGAGAGGTATTAGGATTGGGGCTTTGGGGCACCGGGCTACCACAAACATTATCTGCTGCAGCGCAGAGTGCAGCTCACACGAGGTGAGCTAGTCGAGAAGCAATTGGGCTCCCTGCCGTATTGCTGCGTCAGGCCCTGCCACACGGTTTAGGGTTTAGGCATGTTTGTCGCCAGGCTGGCAATGCACCCTTCTTCCTCTCTCCCTCTGCCTGGATGATAAGACTCCGAATTTCTGTGTCGTTGACGACAGTGGCAGCCTGGTCGCAACAGCAGTGAACAAAGGATCAATATCCTGATGCTTCCCGTATCGTGTATTTTTCATTTCATGTGTGTGTAGATATATATGTACACATTCAGTGCCACTTCTCTCGGATCCCAGGTCTGCTGTGCATCTGCCCACCGGATACAATTGAATCCAATGCTTAGGTGATGTTGTCCATGCCTCGTTTCAGCTTTCACAGCAGCACTTCCAGTTTAAGAGAGCTCTCTGAGTATCCCCTCCTGTCCTTTCCTGTATCTTTTGTACGATCACTGGTTCCTTACAGGCCTTCAGTGATCCTTTCTCCCATCCTCTGTTCGCCTGTGAAGACATCCACGATTTTGTCAAAAAGAGGGACCGGCCCGGAGCAAACACAGCCTCAAGCTGCGTCTGCTGATAAAATGCGCTTAGTGAGAGAGCAAGACATCAGAAAGTACACCGAGCGCGGAATCGAAGGGAAAGCAGATAGATCAGGTCATATTCAACAACTAGCTCAGTCAAGATGCTGCTAGATAGTGTTTGGCTTGCAACATGCGGCAGCATGTCTTACCAGCAGCCAGCATGCTGTTCATGTCTATGCTTCTGCTGATTACTTGTGACCTATGATAATGAGACGACCGACGGTAAGACAACAAACGCACACAGCACAACAAGAACAAAGGACTGCGGCTTAACTCTTTCACTCGTACACTGCCAGGTGTCCAAACGCACATCTGCTCGCATTCATCACATGACATGTTTTGACAAAACGTGATACAATATGAGACACTATGATATGACGTAATTCAATAGAATATGATATGATACGCTATATATGCCACTATATGATATAATACAGTATATGACATGCTATATGCTCTATCTATATCTATATACATATACACATATATTTATGCCATACATATATATATATATACATATATATATATAGAGAGAGAGAGAGAGAGAGAGAGAGAGAGAGAGAGAGAGAGAGAGAGAGAGAGTACTTTGAGCTGCAAGATGGGCCTTCTGGTCACCGGCAGCTTTAATCTCGGCATCAGCACCTCGTCGTCGGTTCAGGGTTCAGGGTTTAGCGGTTAAGGGGCTTGGGGTTGCAGGGGTTCAGGTTCTGAGCTTTAGGGTGTAGGGTTCAGGGTTGCAGGGGTTCAGGTTCTGAGCTTTAGGGTGTAGGGTTCAGGGTTGCAGGGGTTCAGGGTCTGAGCTTTAGGGTGTAGGGTTCAGGGTTGCAGGGGTTCAGGGTCTGAGCTTTAGGGTTTAGGGTTCAGGGTTGCAGGGGTTCAGGGGTTAAGGGGTTTAGGGTCCACCCGGGGTGTTAGGGTTCAGGGTGTAGTAGGGCTTTCGGGGTTTAGGGTTTGGAGTTTAAGGCTCATGGATGGAGGCTTCGGGCTCAAGGCTTAAACCCGGCGGGTTCTGGGTTCGGGCTTGGGAGCTTCGGACCTGAGGCTTCGTGAGGAAGAGTTTGAGGTTCGGGCCATCGGGTTTGGGGTTCCCTAAACCCTAAACCCTAAACCCTAAGCCATCGGGTTTGGGGTTTGGAACTTCAGGCATAATATCAGGGGCTTGGGCAAATTACAGAGGGATTTGGTGTACCCACTACTGCATAGCCATATGAGTGAAATGCTTGTAGTATGGAGACGGTAGCGGCGAGGACCGTTACCAAAGTCTGAACCCTGGGTACTAAAGCCATTGATTACTTACAAGAACGGCGACACTGAGACACTGGTAAGGGGTCTTCAAAACCCCCCCATACCCTACTCTCTGACCCAAGCACGCCTGGGCCCTGACGCCCTAAACCCGACCCCCCCTCCTCTTTAAGTGCCCGGCTTGCCAGCTCGGCTTCGAGGTGCTGTATCTCCGTGGATTGGGCCTGGCCCTAAACCCTAAACCCTAAGCCCTAAACCCTAAACCCGAAGCCCTAAAACCTAAACCCTAATATCAGCCCCGGGGACCCGAAGCCCGCCAGCATAGAACGAACCCCTACACCTTGAAAGCAAACATAAACCCCAAATTCTTCCTGTAGCCTGAAGTTTCTTCGGGGCTGAATTGTTACTCTTGGCTTCTATTAGTTAGGAGCTTTCGGGGGTTTAGGTGGTTAGGGGCTTCGGTTTCGGTTTCAGGGGCATGACAGCTGGCCCTGGTTGTCCTGCTCTCCTCGCTGCTACGGGCCGCAAAGACGAGGACGCCACTCCTCACCCCACAGTTCCTCGAAGTCACAGCCTGCCCTAAACCCTGAACCTCAACCCCTGCACCCTTCACCTGGAACCCTAAACCCTAAAGGTTAAACTCATCATCCCTAAACCTCTAGACCCTAAACCCCCAAACCCTAAACTCCAAATCCTGAACTCCTAAGCCGCAAACCCTCACCCTAAACCCCAAACTCCTAACTCCCAGACTCCTAAACCCTAAACTCCTAAACCCCAAACTCCTAAACCCTGTGAGCATGCCTTGATGTAGATGTCGGCAACACTGAAGATCTTTTGCCAGGGCCTCGTTTGCCCCGCAATGCAAAGAGCTGGGGCAGCCTTGAATCTTCATCACACTACTGTACATAAGATGCATATATATATATATATATATATGAACAGAACATATATATATATATATATATATATATATATACATATATATAATTATATGCAGATACACAAAGATATGAGTATACATACCTGTACATGCAAGTAAAGATGCAAACATGTACATAAACATAAGCGCCTCGAACATGAGTTTGAATCTAAACAAACAACAAAATCAATACATTAAAAAACAGATGTAAACAAACGATCAATTAGATATCATAGGTTATACGTATGTATGTACGTGTGTATGTGTACATATGTAATCATTACACACGGTAGCTAATCCATCCTACAATCTTGGATATCAACATTGGTGTCTCAGACAGACTTGTATCCCAAACAGAGAACCCCAAGAACCCTACTGGCAGGAATCCTCTGCACAATCCGGACATATGGGACATTAAAGACCCTTATAGAACCCATGGCAAAGTTCTACAGTCCTGCAGAGACCTGCATGTACAAGAGCAACTTACGGAAACGCCTCATGGATCAACATCGAACGACGGACCGCGGTTTGTGTATACTACTGGGGCCTTATAATTGCCAATACTATTTTGGGGGTTCCTTGTTATAATGGGCCCCAAAACCCTTGGTTCCTTGGCTCCGGACATGACTGCCGACCTCGCAACCATCCAAAACACCAGCTCATTGTTGGTATAGGATTGAAAATGTACATCTGTATTACTTATTGGGTTCAAGTACCCATAAAATGTAAAAGGTTACCCAACTATGACAAAGAACAGTTCATCTTTGGATTCGGGGCTTGCGGGCTTTGGGTTTCGGGCGCAACCACCTAGACAGCGAAGCATGGCTCGTGGGAGTACTGACACTGTAACTCCATGTCCCGACTGATGCGGAGATAAACCGGCTGTCTCACGGGCGTTGCTGTGGGGTGGCCCTACCCGCAAAACACACGACACGCAGAAATATGGGTGGTTGTCAAGATCATGGTCCCTTTTTGGGTCCCTATTATAATGCGGCAGCTAATATTTAGGGTACCCAAAAAGGGGACCATAATTTTGACAACCACCCATTTATCCATAGAAGCCGAGGGGCTCCTGCACACGCATGAGACTGATGATGTCATCCTTAGTTGACCAAGTCAGACCGATCCAGCTTTGCATCCGTATACACTCAACGAAAGCAGGACGGCTACTGGAGACAGAACCTATCATCATCATCATCATTATCATCATCATCGTCAACATCTTCATCAGCAACAGCATGACAGCCGGCAGTGTCGTCGTTGTAATGGCGAGTGTGTTCTTTCTCGTCTCTGTTGGTATTCTCTCAGAAACTATCCACCGCAAGAAAATGGTGCAGATCATCGGCGTCGGGATGTTCCGCAAAAGAAAGGTATGACAATGACCACTCTGATGACGGATGATGCTGAACATAATGATGGCCATGTCTTCATCACCGCGGACTATCACCAGTAGTTTCGGCTTCATCAGCAGCTTTCTCAGAAAGCACAAGGCAGCGACGACGCATAGGCAGAAGAGTCGTGCTGAGTTCAGAGGGGTTACTTGCTGTCCTGAAAGTTGTGAAAGGCATCAAGGGCTGAGCGGGGCACTCCACCGCAGGTGCCTTGATAGGTAGTGGGAAGAATTCTTTCCTGCAGCAGGCACAACGCCTCAACCCTGAAGTACGGAGGATCTGGGGGGTCATAGAAGATGAAGGAGCAAGTCTTGCTATAGGGGCCTTAATGATTGAATATGGCATTTTTTGGGAGGGTTCCTTATAATAGTTATTGTAGTATAACATACCCCGAAACCCTATTCCAACTATTAATGCCCTATATTACACGGATGATGAGCTGTCAAGTGTGTAGGTCGCTGAACCAGAGTGCTCTGGGATAACTCCCAGAAGATGAAGGCCAACTACATGTCGATGGAAGCTTCGGAACTTAGGGTTTAGGGATTTGCGGGACTATAGGGGGCATCAGAAAGTCAGGTTCTTATGGGGAAGGGTCACCAAGCAAGGGGCTTGCGTCCTGATTGTCTCATCCCTTGAAAAGCCAGTGTATACTGATACCGTACACTCCGCATGGCTTCCACCAGCATTACAATGCCAGCAAGCACATGCGCGATAAGGCTGCTATAGTGCGGTAGCACGAAACCCTGAAGTGTCCTACGGTGGCACTTGCAACAAGAACCTGAAGGGGACACCTTCATAACGCCACCAAACCCCTGTAGAGACGCCCAGAACCTTAAAGCCTAAAGCATCCCAAAACCCTACTCCACATCCTTCATACCCTCAGCCGCAACGCTATGTCTGAAACCTCAGGCCGTAAAACCCTAAAGCAAACCCCCCAAAACCCCAAAATTAACCTGCAGGCCTCCACAACCTGCGTAGTCAGTGCAGCCAACTCCAGGTCAGCTCCTGACCAGGGACTCGAACCACATGGGTGGTTGTCAAAATTATGGTCCCCCGTCTTGGGTACCTTAAATATTAGGTGCCGTATTATTGTAATAGGGACCCCCTAATTTTGACAACCACCCACATGCAATGGGTTTCTCGAAGTTCCGGCGAAGGGGCTCGCTTTGCAGAGCTGACCCTGCATACTCAGGATCCTACTAAAGGGGAGAGTCTATGTTTGCGGTACTGATTTTCTGACATTCCCAAAATTAAACCCTAAACCCTAAACCCCTAAACCATAAACCCTAAACCCCTAAACCCTAAACCCCAATGTCGTTCCCTCTAGCAACAAGGCAAAAAGCGAGGCAAGCAGTGCTTTGCGGTTCGTTGATGCGCATTCTTCTCCCCGCAACAAGTTTCTGACTTACTTCCTGAAGGACCAAATGACCCTTAAAGGTATCGGCCCTATACCCATATACTATGAATCCCTATATGGTATATGAACCTTAAACCCTTTTAGGGTTCATTTCGTCCTTAAGGTTAGCAGTGCCAGCAGCGGTACCATAGTGATCTTGTTTTAGGTGGCAACAATCATACTCCGGCAACGGTGCTGGTAAGAGAGTGGTGTAGCTCACCTGACCTGGGTCCATGGTACTGTTAGGCAGGCAAAAGTTCGAGTTTTCTAGGAGCATCCTAATAAAAGTTCGAAGAAACCCTGCAAAGCACAACAGATGACCGAAAAGAGTTGAACAAGCGCCGGCACCATTGTCATACAGTGGAGCATGCCTGGGAGCACTTCACACTCCAAGCCCTAGATCCAAACCCTCAACCGGCAAACCCCAGCCCAAAACCGCCACACCCCAAATCCCAAAACCCCAAACGCCCCAAAATCCTCAAATTTCCAGCTTCCCCTGCGGCGAACCTGTAATCCCGGACCGTTCCGATCTGGCCGACCTCGGCCAGCCATTCTGGGCTTGGGGCTTGTAACACATGAGATGGAAGTCAAGATATAGACTCTCTCTCTCTCTCTCTCTCTCTCTCTCTCTCTCTCTCTCTCTCTCTCTCTCTATATACAGAAACATATATGTATATATGTAGAGCATGCAGGAATAATTACAATGCATAGTACAGGAAAAGATAATACATTAAGTCATTAAGTGGTAGCGTCGCAGAGACAGAAAAATCTCCGATGTCGGGCATGAAGAGTGTATAGGCAGTGGGGATGAAAGCTGGAAAGGGCTAGATCACTCCACAGACCAGAGCCGAAAACCTGAACTCTGGGTTTAGGGTGTTGGGATGTTTAGGGTAAATCTCCCCAAACCCGTCGTTTCGAAGAAGAGCCCTCGAAGCCCTGAGGAAGTCAGATTGCATACCGAGCGCACCGCAGAAGCAAACAACCAAGCAGACAAAGAGCCTGGCATCGAAGGACTCGATATCTCTAATACTAACAACCACGGTTCAAGAAGATGTACATATCTTAATAGGATCTAAATATAGCTATGATCCGAATGCTACTCATACGAATACAACAAGTTCGTACAGATGGCAATAGGTAGCATGAAACAATATCTTATTTGGCGTGAGCTACATCTGCTTAACGCTACGTTTCTTGCCAGGGCAGCTGTTAGTTCTACATTGGTGATGCTCGTTCCTATCTCTCTAAACCCTAACTAAACCGTACCCTTTAAACTTTAGCCTAAACCACCTGACCCTAAACCGTGCCAACATGAACGCTCCGCCAAAGATGCAGGAAAAAGCTCGGTGACTAAAGAAGCCTGCGGTGCACGTATGCCTCAGGAGCCCGAATCCATCTTCTGCCCGCGGCTATAATTCTAAATTCACAATCTGTCTCTATGAAACTTGAGACCCCATAGACATGTTCCGGGTTGCTTCTAAAGCTTCCGAAGCCCTGGAGCCCTCCCCAAGCCGAGGCCGATAGCAAAAAATGCAAAAACTGACTTCATGGCCGCGGAGGGCTATGGTCCAACGACTTCTTGCTTCCTGGTGCAAGCCTCGAAGCCTCCCTAAAAAAAGTTTACACTTGTTTAGGCTTCTTATTGTATAATCGGAACCCAGAAACCTGAAAGTAAAGAAGTGTACCACTGAACAGCCTGGTTGTTGTACGTGAGGTTATACAACCCCTGCAACCCACTCAAGCAAAACACCAACCCTGTCCCAACTGACTCTTCTGGAAGCGAAGTACTGCGACCCCCCAACCTCCTACACCACGAAAGTAGTGCAGATTTCCGAGACCCCGCCAGCGACAACATCCCGAAAGAAGCTTTAGAATTCGTGTCTGAGGGGCTGTAGATCAAAATGCAGGAGCCTAGATAGTCAGAAAAGGGTTGCGGGGGTACAGGTATGCTGTATTGTCGGTATGACTACAATTTCAGGTCCTGCATGTTTTCGAGAAAAAGCAGCTGCTGGGCTTCAGAGCGCGGCTGAGCGAAGTTATGGAGTTTGAGCGCTTGGTGCCTCAGCAGAACGATTGCTGCCCAGGGGCATCTGAATTGCCTGGCATGCTTTTGCTGGAGATAGGGTATGGGGATTTTGGGGCATGGGCCTGGGGTTTCGGATTGAGGGTTTGGGGTTGGGGTGAGGGTATAGGAGAAGACTCCTTCCTAATTCAAGCTGTCTTGCTGAGGCACGGCTACCTGATGCCGCTGGTCTTTGTTGTTCGAGTTCGTGACAGTGACCAGCCATTGCTGTCTACACCATTCACTATGAAAGCTGTGGCGATTGGCTGTCAACAATCTTCGCTTGTCCTTGCGGCCCAAAGCCTGTGCTATGAAGCCCCCTCCCCTAAAATCTTAACACTAACCGGGACCCTAAAACCTAAACCCGAAGCCGGGGCTCTAAACCTAAGCCTAAACCCTAAACCGGGACCCCAAAACCTAAGCTGTCTTCCAAGACCGAAACAGCGATTCTGCCAGGTCAGGGGTTCCAAAGAACACGCCGGCCAGACACAAACGACGCAGCCTCAGCCAAAGAGCTTCGAATCTATGCAATACAGGGGCTTTATGTAATAATTAGGTCCGGGTTCCTTTCAAGGGGTCTATAGGGGATCTATAGTAGGGTTCTCGAATAGAGGGGCCTTCATAATCAGAATAGGCTTTTGGGGGCCCATTATACTCTAATTATAATACGGAACTCCCAAGATAGTATTGGCTCTTATTAAGGCCCCTATATTAAGGATGGCAGCACATCTTGACTGCTCCTCGACAGATAACTTCCGAACTGTCTTTCTTCGCAAGTGACGTGCCTGAGCCGGTGACACCTTTTGTTCTTGCCTTTTCGCCTTTTCGCCGAAAGCCGTGGTAAACTGCCTATCGCAACATGTAAGATCACTAGAGTACCTGACGCAAGCCTACGCCCAGCACTGCCTACCCATCTGCAAATTGTCGCTATTGCGGAGCCTGTTCAAAGCCTAAGCCCTAAACCGCCCAACCCTAAACCCCTCAACCCTAAACCCCCGAACCCTGAACCCTTGAACCCCCTTAACCCCTAAACACCCTAGACAACATATGCTAGATAACTGGGGGACCCACACGTTGAAGGCAGCACAGCAGCGAAGCCGGGGTCAGGGAGCTATCTCTAGATAACCAGTTCGGGGCTTAGGGTTTGGAGCTCATAGGGTTTAGGGCTTAGGGTCAGGGTTTAGGGTTTAGGGTTTAGGGTTTATAGGAAACTAGGGCCTAAATTTACGGTTTATAGGGTTGAGGCTTCACGGCTTAGGGCTTAGCTTGCTTCATTGCCTAGGCGATGGTTGATGGACTGAGTCCCCTGGCGAAATACCCTCGTGGCTTCCGCTATGGTGCAAGTGCGGTCCTTTTGTGGCTCTAAGAAAGAAATGCTTGCAAAACATACCTCAAGGAAAACCCAGGCTTAGGACAATCCTGATTTCAGGAGCTTTGCTTCGGATGTTGTATGCTCCGCTACCCTGAGCTGGCACTCGCATGGTGCCTGGACCGATACGAAGCAGATAGGTGGGCCGTTGCTGGCTGGATTTCTTTGGGGTAGACTGCCCATTGACATTTCGATGACGGTTGTGATGGCGATGGCCATGGCGGTGCCAACACCTGTGCTGCTGATGATGGCGGCAATGGTGAAGACAAGCGCGCAGGCAATGACTTCTGCGACGGGAATGCTGCTCTGGCAAGCTGCAAGCGGATGGCAAATACATTTATGATTAATAACAGGAAGAAGATGGAGATGGCGATAGCCATGGCGGTCATGTCATCATGCGATCTTGCCTTGGTGCTGAGGATGGTGGTGATGTCGGCAGCTATGTCATGATGCTGCTCTGCTTGTGCTGGCGATGATGCCCATTCAGTCTTTAGTCACAATCGCCATCTTCAGTTGCCTCAGCATCATCCTACTCACGAATGCCATGTCAGTATCAACAGTACGTTCAACATTATCTCAGTACCAGCAAGCACACCCAACCAGTGACACGTATGAGCCCACGACAACATCATGACGAACTTGTCGTCCTCTGTTACGCATCTCGTCGTAAAAGAAAGTGACAGCACACACAAACTGTTGCCATGGCCGTCGTGACGGAGATCCGTCCGTGCTCCATAATCCATACTCATCCGAGTCTCTGGAACTTACAATCAACTGCACCTCTGGATGTCACAGCTTGAGACAAGTCGAGGATGCTGAATGGCAATGTCGCTTCTTTTTGTACTACGCAACATGAGTTAAACGTTGATGCGAGGCCCGATGCCCAACGGTTGGTATGGCATGTATGACTGAGTCTCTCCTTGCGGTAAGCAGTTGGCATCTTGCCTTAGGATGAGGCCCTTGCCCCAAACGAACTCATGTTTCAGGTGAAACATCTCCTCCTACCTTTTATCCAGCTGCTCGCAGGACAACGGCTTTCTTGGCCGATGCGAGCGCGAAGTAGAAGAACGACTATGCTTCCGGTATGTGCACTGGCTGCGGAAATAATCGCGACAAGTGGGTCTTGCTTGAGAACAGCAAGTGATGCAATTGAAGGTGTCTAGCTGGTCAAACACCTAGTTGTCTTCGGTAAAGCAGGTCGGGCTAAGGGTTTTCGGTGGTGTTCTCATGTGCTACATGTAAAGTCGAACTAGTTGCACGAGCTGTTCCACAAGCAGGGGGTTCGACGGAAGTCGTGTCCGTGTGGCGGACGGGCCCTTCGCTCATGGTGAAACAGAAGCCTGGTTGGAGGCGGCATACTAGAGAGGTACGAACAGTCAGTTTATAATACTGAATAGTAGCCCCGCGTACAAGTAGTCAGAAATGCAGCTATGTAGTACTATATTCGCATGTCGCATATGCCCGCATTCCTAGTATTCAGCCCCCTAGGTTATACGCAACGGCATTCAAGGCAGCATATGCACAGCAAGCCTCTTTGGCAGAATATGGCTGCAGCTTACATCGCACATTCTGTTTCTTCACCCATGCAAGAAGGGAAAAACGTGGGGAGGGGGGGAAGTCCAAGTGCAAGCCCTTCTATCAGGGATCCTGTCCTCGCTCCACACCCGGGAAACCCCTGAACAACGAGGGCATCCTTTTTTCTTAGCATAAGGGTACTACTGGGTAACCTAATGTAGGACCCTGATTAAGAAACCCTGGGCCTATAACCCCAAGATAATAGGATTCCTATAGGAAACCTAATAGAGGCCCAAGGTTTCTTAGGTTCCCACATTAGGTTCGGAAACCCAAAAAAGCCCCCTTGAGCCCCAGCGAGGTCGCCTGATCGGCGCAGAACTCACGCAGTGGAATGGGCCTGGGACCAGCGGCAATGTGGGAGTTTCCGAAAATTGGGAGTACCTTATTTTGGGTTGCTTATAATAAGGATCCTACTATTTAGGGTACTATATTAGGGTCCCCTATTTTCGGAAACTCCCATGTGCTGCCAAAGGGGAGAGCAAAGCAGACGCGTCATAGCGAAAACCAGCCTTGACTGAGACTTCTGCAGTAGAGACTTCTGCAGTAAGAAACAAAATGAAGGTGTAGAAACCCGAAGTCGTTGCTAGAAAGCGGGGAGATGGTCGTCTTAATTGGTAGCTGTTGTAGCAATAGCAGTGGCTTGCAGTAGTGGTGGTACTGGTAGTGGAAATGGCAGTAGTAGTGATTAGTAGTAGTAGTAGTAGTAGTAGTAGTAGTAGTAGAAGTAGCAGCAGTAGTTGATAGTAGTAGTAGTAGTAGTAGTAGTAGTAGTAGTAGTAGTAGTAGTAGTAGTCGTAGTGGTAGTAGCAGTAGCAGTAGCAGTAGCAGTAGCGTTCGTCGTTGTTTGTACAATCCCGGTATGACGGTGCTGTTCCTAGCAATGGCTACATGGCAACAAGCAGGGTGACCGGAAACAAATAATTGAACAGGTCGCGGAGATTGTATAGTACAAGGTTTGCCTTGCACAGGCAGAGCAGCGGCTCAGCTGGAAAAGACGGAGCAGTAACAGCAGTTGGTCCATAGTAGCGGCCTGCATACAGGGGCCTTAATTAAATACCTATACTAGTTTACGTGTTCCTTGTTGTACTTATAGCATCATGGGCCCCAAAACCCTATTCTAATTGTTATAGCGCCCCTACATTTTGGAGCAACCACAAGGCAAGGGCAGCAACAGTGCGCTCGTGGCAGGAGCGGTGCGTGTGAGGAGATCGAGGCACTACAAAAGTATGAATACGGGAAACTAGGATGCCCAGTAACCTAGGAATCAAAAGAGCTCCCTTTTTGGTCTTGGGTAACTTAATAAGGAATCTAGTACTACAACAAGGGGATAAGGGTACTACTGGGCATCCTAGGAGAATGCAGTAAGTTTGACCATGATGGTGATGATTGCCGTAGAGACCACAGCATTTATCTCATCTGTGGTTGACACGAAATTTTCAATTCAGTCCAAAAAACCACAAAACCCGAAACCCTACACCACTGACTGAGTATGTGGCCACCCCTCCACCACCCTTCGCGTGGTCACGCATCATCGACATGAACTCCTGCAGGATATTTCGGGACCCTCGATGCTGCTTTGTTTAGGATTCTATGGCTCAGGGATTTAGTGTTTTTAACCCTGTAACCCTAAAAACCCCCGACCCTCATAGCAAGGGGTTTACGGGATCCGGCTTTTGCTTGGCAACGGCTAGATCCACGAGAACCTCTGGCAAGCAAGGGGTTTAGGGCCATTTAGGGTTTAGGCTAGCGTCCTTGAAGTCGATGAAGCCATCACCGTTGCCGTCCACCTCCAGCATTAGCTCCGCGATGGCCTGATGGCGGACAGGTGTTTGCTTCAGAGATTGTTTTTTCCGTCACAGCTGATTTCGACTGACAAGACAGAAACTGAGGAAGAAGCTAAAGCACCAATCCTAAACCCTATAAGAGTCAGGGAAGGCCTTGCCCATTTTGGGTAATTGCACCACCGTGGCCCAAATCATAGCCATAATATCCTAACACACTTTACCATATAGAAAATAAGGTGCAATTATCCAAAATGGACAAGGTAATGGGGTCGCCCAGTTTGGGGTATTACATCACCGTCA